AGACCTGCATGGTGCAGTTGATAGGGCAAGCCGTACAAGACCTACACAAAGTGCTGTTGATAGGGTCAGCTGTAAGAAATCTACACACAGTGCAGTTGATAGAGCCAGCTGTACGACTACTACAGGTAGTGCTGTTGATAAGGCCAGCTGCATGAGACCTGCATGGTGCAGTTGAAAGGGCCAGCCGTACGAGACCTTCAACTAGACCTGTTGATAGACCAGAACAAAACATAGTGCTGTTGATAAGGCAGGCCGGTGGAACAAATAAATTGTATGTTCAACGACAATAGAGAAAAATAATGAAAAAAAAAAAAGCAATAAGAATAATTTTATTATCTGGCTTGTAGTGGGCGTGTGGGTCTTTAACGTTGTGCATGCAGTAGCGTGCCTTTCACAGAGTGATCGGGGGTAGTCTTTAGCAGGGGTTACCTAGTACGACTTAAAGGGGGTGTCCCTCAGAGATTGCGTAAAGGAGACTGAGTGTTAGATATACTTTTGAGATAGAGAGAGAGAGAGAGGGAGAGTGAGAAAGAGAGAGAGTGAGAGAGAGTGAGAGAGAGTGAGAGAGAGAGAAAGAGAAAGAGAGGGAGAGAGGGTCAAATGTAGAGGAAAAGTGAAAGAAAAGTTGAGAGAAAGAGAGAATGGGACAGGGAGAGTTAATAATTGAAGGAAAAAGTGAGGGATAGAGTGTGCCTGAGAGTGATTTAGAAATAGAAAGCAAGGAAGAGATAGAGTGAGGTAGTGATGTAGTGAGAGAGAGAGCTAGAGTGAGGTAGTGATGTAGTGAGAGAGAGAGCTAGAGTGAGGTAGTGATGTAGTGAGAGAGAGAGCTAGAGTGAGGTAGTGATGTAGTGAGAGAGATAAAGAGTGAGGTAGAGATGTAGTGAGAGAGAGAGAGAGAGTTAGGTAGAGATGTAGTGAGAGAGAGATAGAGTGAGGTAGAGATGTAGTGAAAGAGAGAGAGAGTGAGGTAGAGATGTAGTGAGAGAGAGAAAGAGTGAGGTAGAGATGTAGTGAGAGAGAGAGAGAGTTAGGTAGAGATGTAGTGAGAGAGAGATAGAGTGAGGTAGAGATGTAGTGAGAGAGATAAAGAGTGAGGTAGAGATGTAGTGAGAGAGAGAGAGAGAGAGTTAGGTAGAGATGTAGTGAGAGAGAGATAGAGTGAGGTAGAGATGTAGTGAAAGAGAGATAGAGTGAGGTAGAGATGTAGTGAGAGAGAGATAGAGTGAGGTAGAGATGTAGTGAGAAAGATAGAGTGAGGTAAAGATGTAGTGATAGAGAGATAGAGTAAGGTAGAGATGTAGTGAGAGAGATAGAGTGAGGTAAAGATGTAGTGAGAGAGAGATAAAGTGAGGTAGAGATGTAGTGAGAGAGAGAGATAGAGTGAGGTAGAGATGTAGTTAGAGAGAGAAAGAGTGAGGTAGAGATGTAGTGAGAGAGATAGAGTGAGGTAGACATGTGACGAGAGAGAGATAGTGTGAGGTAGAGATGTAGTGAGAGAGAGCTAGAGTGAGGTAGAGATGTAATGAGAGAGATAGAGTGTGGTAGAGATGCGGTGAGAAAGATAGAGTGAGGTAGAGATGCAGTGAGAGAGAGCTAGAGTGAGGTAGAGATGTAGTGAGAGAGAGCTAGAGTGAGGTAGAGATGTAATGAGAGAGATAGAGTGTGGTAGAGATGCGGTGAGAAAGATAGAGTGAGGTAGAGATGTAGTGAGAGAGAGCTAGAGTGAGGTAGAGATGTAATGAGAGAGATAGAGTGGGGTAGACATGTGGCGAGAGAGAGATAGATTGAGATAGAGATGTAGTGAGAGAGAGATAGAGTGAGGTAGAGATGTAGTGAGAGAGAGATAAAGAGTGAGGTAGAGATGTAGTGAGAGAGAGAGAGAGAGAGTTAGGTAGAGATGTAGTGAGAGAGAGCTAGAGTGAGGTAGAGATGTAGTGAGAGAGAGATAGAGTGAGGTAGAGATGTATTGAGAGAGAGCTAGAGTGAGGTAGAGATGTAGTGAGAGAGAGATAGAGTGAGGAAGAGATGTGGTGAGAGAGAGAGATAGAGTGAGGTAGAGATGTGGTGAGAGAGAGATAGAGTGAGGTAGAGAGAGATGGAGTTAATCTGAGAACACATATGCTATAACTATTTTAAAATTTCAAACTGATTCACTGGACTAAATGATGTTGACTTATTCATATATTTTATTGTATAAAAAGAGGATCAACATGTAAATATAACAGTTGCCTGAAAGTCATCTTCTTTTAAATGACATCCGTTTAAAAAAAAAAAAAAATTTCAACTTCTTATTGGATGAAAGTTTATCATTATAAAATCAAGACCATTGTTCAGATACTTTAAAAAAAAAAAAAAAAAACACTTTATTTTTCAGAGTTTGAAACAAGACCTAAGTGACAAAGAAATCAAAAGGGATTATTTCATAAAACTCGTAACTAAGGGTTATGGGTTTACCTCTACTGTGACAAATTCAGTGTATGATGAGTTTGACGAAGATGACAACGGTGTTGTAAATGAGGAAGACAACAAACTCATGTACAGAGCTTTCGACACGGATGGGAACGAGCTAGTCACCATTGATGAATTTATAATGTGAGCCAATAGAAACTTCCTTTTAAACTAGTTTTAATTAAAATAGCAAAGATGCGACTAGAGCCTGAGCTGTTTGTAGCGTGGTATATAAACTATGTTTTATGTGTCAGGAAAAAAACAACCTGTAAAACCTTTATAAATTTTTGTCCACGGTAACATTCGACCAAACATTTCCATAGCTGAGGATTTAAACATGAGTTACAAAATGGGTTCAAATACGGCATTGCTCGCGATGAGTGGCTCAACGTGAAGGGTCCTAGCATCTTTAGAAATACAGCAATGTCAAGAATAGGCTACGTGTCCTTAGGAGTAGATGAACTTGAAGATGGTAACAACTTTAGAGATACAGCGATGTCAAGAAATATGTCGATTGCTGGAGAGCTGGTGTCGCTATTTCCTTAGTGGTATCATGCGATCAATTAATGTGAACGTCATCTACATTCACTTGGTTGATTTGAGCGTCCAGTTACTTAGTTTGGACATGCAAATTAATTGATGCAATCTAATAAACTCATTTAAGGTACTTAATTCATTCGATGAACATTATTGTTAATACCTTAGCCAAACTAAGGACAATTATTGCAAATAAGTAAGCCAAGCATTACACTTTGTTGAAAATACTTAAATACAATTATCCTTACTGAATCTGCTTACGCCAATCAATGCACATTGTCATACACAACCTTTTAGGTTAACGAAACACTCACAAATTTATTGACTTCATTGTCATTCCGTTTCAGAGCTGATAACGATATGCTCATTGCTGCCGGCGTTCCAGTACCGTCCGGATAATGAACAGTTCTGCTTTACGTCATCCCGAAGGACAAGAGAAAACTATAACACAGATGAAAATCTAATGAAATTTATTCGATTGAACTGAAAATGTAAACAGTAACAATAAAATTAATGATAGAACAAAAAATAGTCATCTTACAGTTTTGTCTGTTTGAAATATGATTGATAACTGAGTGGAAGATGTTTTAAAACATTCATGAGCAAAAGAAAACTGAAAAAAATGATTGAAAACTTTGACAAAGTTTGACAATGTTAACTTTCATTTCCTTTGAGTTTGGAAATTGTAACTCCTACCATCCTGGTATGTTTTGTTGGCACCTCTTTCTACTCACTTGTATTTGGGTTAACCTTGTATTCTTTACACGGTCGTAAACACCTCTGTCCCTAACATGGTTGTGAGCACCTCTGTCCTCTCACATGGCTGTGAGCACCTCTGTTCTCTCACATGGTTGTGAGCACCTCTGTCTTCTCACATATTTGTGAGCACCTCTGGCTTCTCACATGGTTGTGAGCGCCTAAGTCTTCTCACATGGTTGTGAGCACCTTTCTCAAATTGTTGTGAGCACCTCGGTCTTCTCACATGGTTGTGAGCACCTCTGTCTTATCACATGGTTTTGAGCACCTTTGTCTTCTCACATGGTGGTGAAAAACTTCTGTCTTCTTACATGGTTGTGAGCACCTCTGTCTTCTCACATGGTTTTGAGCACCTTTGTCTTCTCACATGGTGGTGAAAAACTTCTGTCTTCTTACATGGTTGTGAGCACCTCTGTCTTCTCACATGGTTTTGAGCACCTTTGTCTTCTCACATGGTGGTGAAAAACTTCTGTCTTCTTACATGGTTGTGAGCACCTCTGTCTTCTCACGTGGTTGTGAGCACCTTTGTCTTCTCACATGGTTGTGAGCACCTCTGTCTTCTGACATGGTTGTGAGCACCTCTGTCTTCTCAAATGGTTCTGAGCACCTCTATCTTCTCAAATGGTTGTGAGCTAACCTGTCTTTTCACATGGTTGTGAGTACCTTTGTCTTCTCACATGGTTGTAAGCACATGTGTCTTCTTACATGGTTGTGAGCACCTCTGTCTTCTCACATGGTTGTGAGCACCTCTGTCTTCTCACATGGTTGTGAACACCTTTGTCTTCTGACATTGTTGTGAGCACCATTGTTGCTGCTCTTGATATTGCCGTAACAACTGCCGGGACTACCTTCCTTTTGATTCATCTTCCGTAAATTTGATTCAAACAACAGTTCAATCTATTTTTACGTCCAACTTCAAGAGATTTTCAAACCACTTAAAGATGAAACAACGAAAGAATTTTTTTTGTTCTTGTGGTTTTTCAATCACCAAAGTCAACAAAGTTCAAGTGTTTATTTCCGTCTTCTACACATTTTATGATGCTCTAAACCATCTTAAATCACGATTCCGTGATTGATCACAAGTGGGAATTTAGCTCTTAAGTTTCTGATTGGTCAGAATTGTCTCTAAACAAAACGTGATCACTTTGACCTATATCTTACTAAGTGAAGTATTTCAAAACTTAAGGGTAGGAACATGTATTTAAAAACCATGTGTCACTGATTTAAGTTTATAAGTGTTTGCGATTAGTTTTACGAAAGAAACCTTCCTTAAGCAAAGATGAGAATGTTGTTTTATCATAGGTTTTTAATAGAAATCCTCTTCTGAAATTGTTTAGGTCTTCGTGGAACCGCAGATGTTACTTGGACATTAGTTGGACATTACTTGGATATTACTTGGACATTAATTGGATATTACTTGGACATTAGTTGGACATTAGTTGGACATTGCTGTTGTTGAGAACACACTACACATACACAAACTATTTTAGGATGTTAATCAGGTCGCAAAGTGAAGGGAGACATCACAATCGTACGCCGACATTTATCCGGCTGTGTAGCTTGGGCCATTTCAAAACTATTTAAATGTGGCAATTTTGAAGCTTTAGGAGTGACGTCACTTACTGACATGACCAGGAGTCAGGTCTTCACTTGTTTTGATTCTGTTCGAAATGTAAAAAGAAGTTGTATAAAAACAATTATTCTAAGAAAGTTGTACCTTAATGTGGTGGTGATGGCTGAAGCATAGAGACCGTGTCAGTTTGAGCGTAAGTATCAAGCACTTCAATTTTTTTTTTTAAATATGTAAGATATTCAAGCCATAACAGAAAATGTTGCAGTCGTTGATAAGCTCCCTCAAATTTATCGGCTAAATTTTTTCTTGTAGAAATCGCGTGATAGGTTGTTTAAAATAAGAAGAAGAAGTTCATTTTTGCTTACCTCTAAATATTCAGTACCGAAATTTATGTTAAACCTAACCAATCAGCGCCAACATTTAGGTTAACCCTTATCCAATCAGCGCCAACATTTAGGTTAACCCTTATCCAATCAGCGCCAGCATTTAGGTTAACCCTTATCCAATCAGCGCCCACATTTAGGTTAACACCTAACCAATCAGCGCCAACATTTAGGTTAACCTCTAACAAATCAGCCCCGGCATGCATTTATTTTAGAAAGAACAAAAACTAAAATTAAAATTCCCCATATTAATTGTCTGGCTCCGAGATGAAGTTTTCAGGTGCATGTGGTAAAATGGACCCTGCCCAAGTTGTCGCAGCTGTAACATGGACACCCCCAATATCTGTAGAATTGACATAGAGATGTCAGGGTTATGAAACAACTTGTGTCAATGAGAGACTCAGCTTAATTAATGGCACAAAACCATTTCTTCACATCTTATCCCACTTAATATCAAGTAGCCAATGTTATAAAACCAAGTACCATGTGCTATGACACTAAATATCATGTATCATAACACTGCTTACCATGTATTATAATGCTAATTACCATGTATTTCATCACTAATTATTATCATTATTATTATTAAAGTGGTCTTATATAGCGTGGTACTCCAGCCTAGGACTAGGCTCACCTATATAGCGTGCTACCCCAGCCAAGGGCTAGGCTCACCTATATAGCGTGGTACTCCAGCCTAGGGCTAGGCTCACCTATATAGCGTGCTACCCCAGCCTAGGGCTAGGCTCACCTATATAGCGTGCTACCCCAGCCTAGGGCTAGGCTCACCACGCTTCACACAAAAATTTGCACACAGAAAAAAAAGAGGACATTAAAAAACAGTCACATAAAATTATTCATTCAAAAACAGCTATGTAAAAATATTGACCTCACTCACCTAAGTTAAGCCTAAGTACTGTCTATCCCTGTCTAGCCATGGACGGCACCCAGCAGCGTCGAGCGTTGTTCATCGGCCAGAGGGGGTGTGAATGAGTCTGAATAGTAGAGTTTCAAGAGATGGGTCTTGAGGACAGTTTTCAGGGCTTGGGTGGTCGATATATTGTGATTGTGTAATGGAAAAGAATTCAATTGTTTGGGGGAGCAAAAAAAAGGAAAAAATCATTCACCATTTGTTTTAGTGCGTGGTTTCCTGGGAACAGAAAGAATACGCGTGTCTGCGGAGTAACGAAGCTGTCGAAGGGGTGAAGAGACATCAAGAAGTTCAGTATTACAGGAAGAGCAGGAACCAGAGAAAAAGTTGTGACAGAGAACAGACATCTTGTAATCAATGCGTGCCTGTATAGGGAGCCAATGAAGTGAGTTTAGTAGTAGAGTGATGTGATAACGTTTCTTTGCCTTTCGAACCAACTTAGCCGATGAGTTTTGTACTTTCTGCAGTTTTTCTATGAAATTTTTTGGTGAACCTGAACGGAGAGAGCCACAATAGTCAAGACGAGAGAGAACAAGAGCACAGACTGGTGTTTTTGTTGCGCTAACTGTGAGGTAGTGGCGGCTGGAGCTGATCTGATGGATAGCGTCGTACGCAGAGCGACAGATGTGAGAGACAGGATTGTCCAGAGACATGTTGTCAGAAAGAGTGTAACCAAGATTCCTAGCAGAGGATGTGAACTGTATGTCGGAGCTATACCTACTTCAAACGGGGTGGTGAGAGCCAAGCTAGAGGATGATTGATGATTGTGAATGAGGAGTGCTTCCGTTTTGTTAGCGTTCAGCTTCAACTTGCTGAGAGTCATCCATGACGTGACATGGCCAATCCACTCCTGCACAGCTTCAACTTGCTGAGAGTCATCCATGACGTCACATGGCCAATCCACTCCTGCACAGCTTCAACGTGATGAGAGTCATCCATGACGTGACATGACCAATGCTCACCTGCAAGGTGTGAATAGCGGAGTTGACAAGAGAGAGATGGATGTGCTTGTATTGCTGCATGTCATCTGTGTATGACTGGCTCTCCACAGCATTCCTCCCGACCAGGAAGAGACGTGGCCTGATTGACATTGTGAATAGCATGGGACCCAAAACGGACCCTTGTAGCACTCCGTATACATGTTTATAACACAAATTACCATGTTCATAACATTTATTACCATTTACTATAAATCTCATCATGTTTTATCACACTAATTCCCATATATATTATAACACTAAATATCTTATTATAACTTACCATGTATAATAACACTAATTGCCATGTATTATAACACAAATTAACATTTATCTTTACACATGACTGTAAGCACCAAATAAATATATATATATATTTCTCTTTTCAGATTTTAATCATTCGCCAACATTTCCATTTTCATTTGAATGTTCACCTAACGTGATCAACAACAGGTGAAGATAAGCCGTGCTCACACATTTCCTTTAAGAAGATCCTGGAAAAAATGACCATGCCGAGAATCCCTGACGACGTTCAAGTGATTGCCGCGATACTGTGTGTCGTCACAATTCTCCTCGCCAATGGCGCGCTCACCTACAAGAACGTACGCTCGTGTGACTTCTGGACGGAACCCAAACGCCTGACCATCCTCTCCATGGCGCTGGCAGACGTGGTGTTCGCCCTCTTCGCCCTGAACGTTCTCTATCTATCACCGCTTTTGAGCGCTGCGGCGTCCTGCAGCGTCACGTCACTGGCCTACATCTACTGCCTTCTTCTGAACTGCGTCTGCGGTCTTGGCGTGCTCTCGCTGGGGTTCGAACTGTGGCACCGTCGCAAGACGGGAAAATCTTCGTTCAGAATCAGGTGTCTGACCTCTTTTATTTTGAGCTGTTTCCCTTGGGTCCTCGGGCTCAGCATCGTGCTGCCCTTGTGTCTCGGGAGTGTGGCGCTCGGCCACTGTGAGTTCAGGAAATCCCTGGAGAAGTCCAGCAGGACTCAAATCGCGGCGGCCCTCATCCTGCCGGCCTGCGCCGCCGTCTTGGTTTGTGTTGTGGTTCAAAGGGGTTCGATCCGACCGGCGTCTGTCGACCAACACTGGGACAACACGTCGCAGGTTTTGACCATGTCAAGAAAGGAGACGAGTTGTTTCCAGACCCATCCCGACAGTGAGCGATCCGTGTACTCAAGTCTGCCGAAACTGCAGCCGTTATCTGAAAACGATATGACCAATCAAAATGAACGGCTTGACGGTCTCAATCCTACCACCGGTCACATTTCGATGAGGCAGAATCTGACAAACATGACTCCCGTCGTTGCCCGACGCAATCTCAACTGTCACAATCAACACGTTGAGGCCAACGAAAAAAACGAGCTGCCTTCGAAGAGACACAATCATGCGAGCAGCATCAGTCAACAGATTCAATCAATGGCACCAAGGCCCAGTACTCAGTCACGGCTCTCAACGTTTAGTATGATTCAACATTCAAGTTTCAACGACATTCATCATTCAACATTCAACACTATTCAACAACCTACAATAAATTACAATGTCGCATCGGCACTAATAAATGACCTTCAATCACAGATTTATGACCATCCCCAACCTACCCTAAGCAACGAACTACAACTTATTTATAGCAATCCCAACCCTAGTGAAGACAAAAGAACTCTTATTTATAGCAATCCCAACCCTAATGAAGACAACAGAACTCTTATTTACAGCAATACCAACCCTAGTGAAGACAACAGAACCCTTATTTATAGAAATCCCAACCCTAATGAAGACAACAGAACTCTTATTTATAGAAATCCCAACCCCAATGAAGACAACAGAACTCTTATTTATAGCAATCCCAACCCTAGTGAAGACAACAGAACTCTTATTTATAGCAATCCCAACCCTAGTGAAGACAACAGAACTCTTATTTATAGCAATCCCAACCCTAGTGAAGACAACAGAACTCTTATTTATAGCAATCCAAACCCTAATGAAGACAACAGAACTCTTATTTATAGCAATCCCAACCCTAATGAAGACAACAGAACTCTTATTTATAGCAATCCCAACCCTAATGACGACAACAGAACTCCTCTTATTTACAACAACCCCAACCCTAATGAAGACAACAGAACCCTTATTTATAGCAATCCCAACCCTAGTGAAGACAACAGAACTCTTATTTATAGCAATCCCAACCCTAGTGAAGACAACAGAACTCTTATTTATAGCAATCCAAACCCTAATGAAGACAACAGAACTCTTATTTATAGCAATCCCAACCCTAATGAAGACAACAGAACTCTTATTTATAGCAATCCCAACCCTAATGACGACAACAGAACTCCTCTTATTTACAACAACCCCAACCCTAGTGAAGACAACAGAACTCCTCTTATTTACAACAATCCCAACCCTAGTGAAGACAACAGAACTCTTATTTACAACAACCCCAACCCTATTGAAGACAATAGAACGCCCCTTATTTACAGCCACCCCCGGCCTACAGAAGACAACACACTTCCTCTAATTTACGACCATCCTCAAAGCACACGTTCTAGTTTCCAAAGATCTCTAATATTAAGCATGCCCCAGTCCACTCAACCTTTTGACTTACAATCTCAGATCTACGATAATCCGCCTCAGGCCGACGCCGTGAAGCTCCACATGTCCAACAATGTTCATCTGACTCACAACGATGGATGGATGGCTAGCGACGAGCCCCCACTGTCTTCGGACATCATCGACTACCAGCCTCGCCTGTTTTTCGATTTCGAGCCTGACCACCAAATCGCCGACGCGTGCGATGAGGCCAGGATGGAGAAGGATTCAGTGCTGGGGGTGTCCGGTTGTCGTGAAGAGAAGAGGAGACTCTGTTGTATATCTGTTGTCTACTTAGTGTACGTCATTGTACTGATAAGTGTGTATATTGCCGTCGGCGATGGTTTGAATCGTACCATTAGCATGTTGATCATGGTGATAAGATCGAATATAACCCCAATACTGCTGTACAACTATTCACAATATTAAAAAAAAAAAATCTACAGAAAGACCTTCTTCAGCTCTCCGTCACGATGATAGGATCATGTACAAACACGACACACTTACCTTTACAACTACGCACAAAATAATTTCAAAATAAATTGCATATGTTTGATACTTAGCAGGAACTACATTAAAATTGTAGTTTGCAGACCTTAAGATTTATCTAAAAGTGTTTTAATACAGTTTTATTCAAGTCTTTAAACTTGTCAAATTGCACAAAATGAATGAATAAAACTATACCGATCAATGAAAAGCTTTAACAGCTGCTTGGAATTCGGAAATCACCAATTAATTAATGATAATAGACTAGCGAGAACCCGGCATGCGTTGCAACGCCGCTCAAAGAAAAAAAAACTGTTTGTGTTTTAAGTATGTTTTTGAAGTAATTTTTAAATAGAAAATATTTTTCGACGCGTGAGCAGGCAACATACGTGAGACGAATGAATTTTCAAAATTTAGTCCACAGACTTGTAGCGATTAATCTACCCATGCAGTAGCTCTGTTTGAAATTATATTTCTATAGCTCACATAATGAAAAAATATAATAAATTAATGCCCATAGCCCTAAAAGCAAAATTGTAAAAATAGTTGTACTAATTCAGAAACCTACTTATTATGTCACACACAAACTAAAATGTCGCTATTTGTATTTGATTCCATTCCATCCACCCATGCAAGAGCTCTGGTTGAAATTATATGGATAAGGGTTCTACAAGAAAAAAATAATAATTTAGCGCCCCTGGTCCCAAAAGAATGTTTCAAAATTGATGTCCTTATTCAGAAACCTTTGCGGACGTGCGCATAACAACTCATGAAAGTTTTATCGCATTGGGTTGAATGGCATGGCATCGCATTGGGTTGAATGGCATGGCATCGCATTGGGTTGAATGGCATGGCATCGCATACGAAAATTATGTTTAGCCCATAAAAGAAAAACACAATGAAATTTAGGGCCCCGGGCCCAAAAACGGAATGTTTTAAAAAATTAGTAACAATTGAAACAAAACTTCAGGCGTGTGTACAATAATTCACACAATTTTTAAAACAATCTGATGAATGGTGTAGGAGCGTATACGGGACATGCATACATTAATTTGTAAATATCTGTATAGAAATGGCTTAACGAATGGACGATATCTTTTGCGAAACTATTTAAGGAAGCGTTCTATCTATCTATCTATCTATCTATCTATCTATCTATCTATCTATCTATCTATCTATCTATCTATCTATCTATCTATCTATCTATCTATCTATCTATCTATCTATCTATCTATCTATCTATCTATCTATCTATCTATATATCTATCTATCTATCTATATATCTATCTATCTATCTATCTATCTATCTATCTATCTATCTATCTATCTATCTATCTATCTATCTATCAGCTATCTATCATTTATCTATCTGTCTAAGAAAATCTTAATCCCTCTATTGTGGACATTAAATGTTCACTTGTGTACAATGATTGGGTTTTGATATTCATGAGTATATGAGTATAATTATGTAAATGCAAAGATTTATTTTCTTAATTTGTAAATATATGTTCATATCTAAAATTAGAATATACCATCTATTCCTCACAGCTGTAATATCATTGGATTGAAAGACAATGTCATCCACGTAAAAATGTATCCACCCTATTTCCTACCCCCGATATATATGTACCTAAGAGGGTTATTTATTTATAAAACTCGTTCTGAGGTCATCTTGTGCTGCCTGGGGCAAACTAAAAGTCTTGTATTAGTCCCTCCGCCACCCCCCTTTTTTTCTTAGAGCTTTTATCAAAATTAATAAAATCATCCAAGGCATTGTAACCCCCTTACATAGCCAAAACAATTTATGTGTTTTTTTTTGCATTTTATGTGCTTTTATTCTTTTTTGGATGAGTGATAAGTGCATTACTGATTGCTATGTGGAAATGTCGTTTTGCTGCACTGATTGAAATATGCGACATTTTTTGTTATTAAAAGAATATTATATGAATGTTAAAAATGTTTATTTTTCGAATTAATAACTATTAAAACACTATTGAATGTTAAAAATTCAAAGCTAAAATTTGTGGGAGTTTTATTTGCAATTTAAAAAGCAGTCAATTATTTTTTTTTATTTTTAAGAAGTGGAAAATACATTACCAGTTTTGTCATGCGCGGTTGTAATCAATCCAGGAGGGGGGGGAGTCCCCCTTGCCCCCCTCCCCCTGCGGGCGCCCATGTTTCTACACAATATTTTCAAAATATATTCAACGCCTAGTCCGCACAGAAGAGACTAGTTTTGAACACACTTAGTTATGTTTATTGAGAATATATGCGCGCGGGAAACCGTATTTGATTTCCCTCGCGAAAGAGTAACTGCTCGGGAAAAAGTGGGGGTGTGTGATTCAAGATCGTCACGAGAAAAGAAAATATGGAGTGAATGTTTACACAACGATACAAATTAGTAATTTAATTTGAATTAATGAAACAAAATATTCATTTCAAATCTACGTGGGGGAAAATTATTAGAATAAACTAAATGTATTGATTATTTAAAAATGAAATAAATATATATAGTATTATTCTGTACATAAACCTATAATAATGTTATAGATCAATCAGCTAGGGATTATTTATATGACTTTATTATATTATGACGTGTTTCACGTGTTTCACCAAAGTCTTCGCAGGCCATAAAGTGGGTGCGAGCGGGCCGTATGTTGTGCAGGCTTGCTTTTAAAGGCATGCTTTAAAATATTAAGTCATTCCAGCAAAATAATACCCGGTTATTTATTTACTGGAATCACTGATCATTTATACACTAGTATTAACGGTCATTCATATACTATAAAACATGAAATGTACTATCTTTTACTGGCATCAATCCGTTACAATGTGAAGATGGTGTAGACTTGTCACAATGTGAAGATGGTGTAGGCTTGCCACAATGGGACGATGGTGTAGACTTGTAAAATGTGATGATGGTCTAGACTTGTCACAATGTGAAGATAGTGTAGACTTGTCACAATGTGAAGATGGTGTAGGCTTGCCACAATGGGACGATGGTGTAGACTTGTAAAATGTGATGATGGTCTAGACTTGTCACAATGTGAAGATGGTGTAGACTTGTCACAATGGGACGATGGTGTAGGCTTGCCACAATGGGACGATGGTGTAGACTTGTAAAATGTGATGATGGTCTAGACTTGTCACAATGTGAAGATGGTGTAGACTTGTCACAATGGGACTATGGTGTAGACGTGTCACAATGTGAAGATGGTGTAGACTTGTCACAATGTGAAGATGATGTATACTTGTCACAATGTGAAGATGATGTATACTTGTCACAGAGTGAAGATGGTGTATACTTGTCACAGTGTGAAGATTGTGTAGACTTGTCACAATGTCACGATGGTGTATACTTGTCACAATGTGACGATGGTGTAGACTTTTCACAATGTGAAGATGGTGTAGACTTGTCCGGCAGCTGTGTCCTATCAGTTGTGTCCAAATAGGTGCATCACAACGGTTGTGTCCTAACGTCTGTGTCCAAGTAGGTGGGAATCAACAGGTGTGTCCCAGAAGGTGTTTCCAAGCAGGTATGTCTCAACAGGCGTGTCCTAACAAGGACATGACAACACATCACAACAGTTGTATCCAACAGGTGCATTGACAGAGGTTTACCACACCAGAAACATCCTGACAGGTGTATCATATCAGGTGCATCAAAACAGGTGCATCCCAATGTGTGCATCACAGCAGGTGCATCAGAAAATGTGCATCCACAGGTGCATTTACAACAGGTGCATCACCTCAGGGGCATTACAACAGGTGAATCACAATAGGTGCATCACAACAGGTGCAACACAGCAGGTGCATCACAACAGGTGTATCACATCAGGTGCATCACAACAGGTGCACCACAATAGGTGCATCACAACCGTGAAGCACAATATGCCCAGCAAATAGGTGTATCACAACATGTGCATCACAATAG